ACTTAAATCGCCTCCACCTGCTGACGTTCCGTTGATAGTCAAGTGCCTTGTGCCAGTGGGTTTTGCTCGCTCAAGGGACTCTCTGACCATCATATTTTTCTGCTAGTGCTTACGTTAGGATCTCTGACCAAGAAAAAAATATTTGGCCTTCCTGCTGTGCGCACTGTAGACACACTGACGGGTTTAGGAGACAAGTTTCTCGTAACTGCCCTTCTAGTGCTTGAAGAGAGAAGAGAGTCAAATGACAGCTTTGAGCCGTACTGTTTTTGTCACTTGGCTTTCTGCACCATCGGTTGGCATGGCCGTTAGCGGTTAGGTTAACGGTGGCGCTTAAAAACATAAGACAGTCTTTCTCCAGTTTCTTCCAGGTGGAATTTATGTACTCCGACCTCTGGTTAAGCAATTGAAAACATTTGCCCTTTACCTATTGTGTTGAACAGGTGACAAGAAAGTCGTCGATCTACTTGCAGCAGAGCAGTGGCTGGAGACGGAGTATGTCGCCTTCCACTCTAGACATGAACGCAGTGGTAAGGCTCGATGTCAGCCTCTGTCCCATTGCCAGTTCTCTGATTATTGCATGATATTTCTTGGACCATGTGGGAAACTTAAAGTAAAGCAGAACACTCTGGTATTCATAGGACACGAAGATATAACGGAAATGACTCGAAGTAAAAGTCACTATCCTCGCATAAGAATTTGAAACATCAGTGCGCAAAACCCTTGAACTACTCTGTCCCAAAAATCCAAAAATGAACTTCAGAGAGAAATGGCTTGTGATAATGCGTAACTGTTTATCTTATATTGGTCTCTTTACAACCATTTAACACAGAATTAATAGGACTACTAATATGATGAGGGTGTGTGTGGCGCAGTTTTCGGACGCGCCCTGCAACACGTACTTGGAATCAATCCCCATGTCCATGGCCCACCAAGCCTTCCATCACTCCGGGGCCGGCAAATTGGTAGCAGCCTTGTCTGCGAGAATAGCACCACTAGACAGATACATCGGCAAGCCACCGCGAGTCATTGTGAAGGCCAAATAAGCATTCAATCACCTCCAAACTGTGCTTAATGAAGTCGAATACATGGTGCATCCCCAGAGATTGATCAACACCGAGAGCTTTATCTTTTTTAAAATAATATGACGACAGCAATTTTAATGTATATGAAGAAAGCGTTAATGGAAAACCCGACGCTTTGTTCGATGAGTATCTGGACAGCAACTCTATAGTTAGTCTACAGTTAATTTAACAATCCAGTCAGTTTTTCATCCCTTCAGTCTTCAAACTCATACCGTGCACTACAAATCACGACGCACATGTTCCCGTTGCAACGTTATGAAGTTATAGAAATGCATAAAAGCAAGTACCTCCAGCAAATAAGCTACTGGGAGGATTGGGTGGAGAGCTAGAAGATGGATACATACAGTCTCGAAAGTTTCTAACGATATATGATGCGGAACGAGAGCTGAATGAAAATCCACTTAATGTTAGATAGCGGGCAGCACAGAGGACGATACCACGAGCAACCCTCATCACGCAAGTGGGAAAGGTGATACAATGTTCCGACCTACGTCAACGGTTAAAGATGAGAGAAGACAAAATGCGTATAAACCACAACGATGGACAGGAAGAAGAAAGGAATGGTGCTCAGCTACCCGAACAGGCAGAACTCACTGAACTAGAACAGTACTACACCGCTGTTGAATTACATGGAACAATGGAAAGTTTATAGGCACCCACCGGCGTCAGTCGTGAACTCACGGAAAGACAAGTGCTACAAATGATGCTAGAAACGACAGTTATACGTGTAGATTGTTGATCAAGGACATGAATTGAAAGTACCGTATGAAGCTGTTATTTTTATGCACAATGTGCAAATCATACGTGCGTAAAAATGACGAACTGTTGATTGCTAGCCTAGTGGGTAAAGATGCTCTGAAATAAACAGTGGTTGTTAGTACGATCTTGCAATTCGCTGCCATCAATCCTTTCATCCGTCTAGGATCACCAGATTGCTATTAGACTTGTCTCAGAGAGTAGCAGCACTCAAAGGATGCATCAGCAGATCACCGCAAGTCATTATATTATATGCGAGATATGTACTGATTCAGCTCTAACGGCGCTTGATGAAAACGAATATATATCGCACTCCTTAGAGATTGGTAGACACCAAACGCTTTATTCTTTTATGCTTTAAAGTAAATGTTCTGGATTGACCGACTGGAAAAATTACAGTTGATAAAAGCCTTGTGTTACAAAATACGCCATAAAAAGGGGGAGACGTATAGGACGCAACGCTATAAGTTCAATTGCCAACACTCATCAAAAATCTATTCCATCAAAGGCATCTTGAGTGTTATGTGCTAATAAATAAAGGATCTGTAAAGGGCACCAGCCAGTTGGCAAATTGGAATATATTGAGGCTATAAATGTTGAATATATTAATGTAACTTCAACGAAACATTTTCTAGCGATGCTACGCAATCGATAAATCGATAAATAGTTATATAATACGAGTACAAAAAAAAATTATTGTTATTCCTATTTCTATATCATTTGGTATTCTGTTACTACCACCCATACAACTACTGTTACATCATATTGTTCCGGTTACGAAAGAGAACCATGTAAGCGCTCTTTCCTCAACACGAGATAAATCAATTGATTGAAACAAAACCTGAAGTGTGAGTGACAGAATTCCTAAAGCACTTCACATTAAATAACTCCAGAAAGGAATCATATCGCCGATTTCTGCTACTTTAGTCCTTCAAATACAATTCAAATAACAAAATTCGCTTGTGTGATGAAGTTAAGGTACTTTTTTTTAAACCAAATTACACTTAACAGCATGTTAACACATAGGCTCGAATCTGGTTTTTCGATAATTGGCAAATATTTCCCCGTTTAGGCATCGTAGTAACTCAAAACATAAGTTTATAGGGGATACTTTGCCCTATCACATTAGTTGTGCATATAAACTTTACAAAGTGTTCCTTCAAACTAAACATGTGTAGAATTAAGGCTTTCGAAAAAGTGGCAGCCTAGCTTTTTAACATTTTCATGGAATGCGCGGCAGATGCAGACATAAGCAATAGATTGGAGAACACCGCGCCTTTTAGAACGAATTCATATGAGGAATTAAGCAGTAAAGTGGAAGGAACACAAGTCATGAACTCCGGAAAATCGAAATTTCGCCTTGGTGAACAAGATGTCCTTCATCTATCCGTATGTTTTCCTAGTTTATGCTTTGACTAAACAAATCTAATACGGGCTGGAATGTTAGTTTGAAATTTAAAGTGACACTTGGATTCGCAACGACTGCATTACGTCCAACGCAGCTAAAACGTTATGTTTTAAGTAAGGTATGATAGGAAGTTGTAAGCCATAACATTTCCCCTTAATCGTTTCTACGATTCCCTAGTAGCGCACATCTAAATTTGTCAGCGGAGAAGATCACGGCATAAAATTCGTCCTTGGAAGCATTTTGTGTCACAACTTTCACATCAAAAACCTCCTAATCATTTCAATACAGAATTGACTAATATTACTAAAGGTTTGAAATAGAATACTTTAAACATACCGCACCGGAGGCAGGCCTCTCCACAATCCACGAGCAAGCGAAGACATGTTCACTGCATCGTTGGAAATGCACCTGTGTGAAGAACTCTCACAAATAGCAGACCTTGTCTATATTTGAAAGGACTAGTAAATACTGCACATTTACGCTCCATTTTTGGCAAAATAATACATTTGCAGTAACAATCCTTATTTATTCACACTGCAACGAAAAAGAATTGGAAGGCAACATTTTAAAAAACCCTTAGGTAACTGTCGAATACAAAGAAGACACTTGTTACCTAAAAGAATATTTGTCGGAATAACAAAGTAAAAACCAGACTATGAGAGTAAATGGAACAGCGCAGTGTGTGAAATGAACACACACAAACATTTACAAGAGCATAATGTGGCATGTTGTCCAGTAGTTAACGAAGTGATTATCTCTTTCGTTTATAGATAGTTACACAGTAGAGGAATATAGAAATGCATATGAAATCAGCGATTAAGCCTGCGACAGTACAAAGCAAAGAGCGAAAAAACTCTATTGAACGCAAATGGGAGAAAGACGCTCGAACCATAATGGCTAACGTGATAAGACGTTATAAAGCTTATATATCAACATTCAGCCTAATAGATGGAATGAGGCAGAAACCAGTTGTGTTCAACAAGTACTGGCAACGAATAGATGTAGTAGAATATGAGGCATTTGTATCCAATTCAGTCTCGGACGTGAACAATGTGGGCGTTGCTTAGGTTTTGTGAACGAAATAAACGAGCTCACTCTTGTGAAAGAATGAGATTAGAACTACGTTCTTCAGATTTAATTTTTGCCCTTGTCTGCTTATTACCACATATCACTACTAAAAGGGTGCAAGGGCTTCATTGACGAGTAGACCTATAATGTAATAACGTTCTTCTCTCTTTCTGTTTCTCTTTGGAACACAGTACCATAGAAAATAACAGAAGAAAACCACGCTTAGATAGAGTAGTCAACATCGTCACTAATCATCAAATCCTACTTTAAATCCAAATCCTACTCAGGAAATTTTCGCTTCATTAATCGCTGCAACGGCATTGAAAAAGAAGCGAAAATATGCCGTAACAATTGTACACCGATAACTGATCGCAGATTCACAAAAATGTAGCCTATGATCCCATCCTAAAAACAATCAACTGGACTGAATTAAATAGAGATTCTGTAAAGTTGGGGAAAAAGCTTTCACTCTTCGTTATCATTCACAACGCTGCTGTATGACAGCCACAACTTTGCGCTTAAGGAAGCCATCCTTTTAATATTTTAATTTACACGAAATATTACAATAAACATTTACAGTTCATGATTACAAACTCTGATCTGTTCATATTATCTTAGACCACGAAAGAAAACATTCGGTTATTGCGAGATCTAATAGCAGTTTTAATACACGTGCTTTAATGGGATCAAAACTGCTGCTGTTGCCGTGAATGAAGTTGTCTTGCAACATTAACAACTTGTGCTTGTGGACTAAAATAGGAACGATACTGTCCCACACTTCCAACAGACGTTAGGTTGTTTGCATTCGACAGCGTCGACGCTAATGCAGCACCTGAAGACAGCGGATTCTCGAATCCAGCTGCTGCAGCACCAAATGCAGCATCCTGTTTCATCTGAGCTTCGACAAACGTCGCGTGGTCATAAAGTCCCATAGACCTACAATCCTTAAAAAAGTACAAGATATACGGAATATAGCTAAGTGTCACGCAATCACCGCTGTGACTAAACCAATTTCTACGAATTTTATACACTCACTTTAGTACTACACTCGCTTTTAGCATAAAGTTTTTTTTCCGAATGACTTAATTTTTTTCTTAATCCCTACATGTTACAATGATGCTAACCTAATAAACAACTGAGAATGAGGAGGAAATATTTCGATAAGAACAGATATGCTATCGGACGCAACGGATACCAAGCATTAGTGAACATCCTTACTGTGCATCTAGTTTATAGAAGCTATTATCTAAGAAATGTTCTCTTAATTAGAGCAAAAAAAAACAAAAAACCAACTTGTAATAGTCCACCCATTGAACGGAAGAAGCTGCTGAGTCCGTCTGCGGGTTTGAGAAACTTTGCACAGCATCATGTGTATTTTGAGCATCAGCTGTTAGGTGCACAGCACAGTACGTATTCAGAGCATTAGCTGTGGGGTGTGCAGTACCGTAGATATTTTGAGCATCAACTGTGGGGTGCACAGCAGCGTAGGTATTTTGAGGATTAGCTGTGGGGTGCACAGCACCATAGATATTCTGAGCATCAGTTGCGGAGTGCACAGCACCGTAGGTATCTTGAGCATTAGCTGCAGGGTGTACAGCACCGTAGACATTTTGAGCATCGGCTGCGGGGTGCACAGCACCGTAGATGTTTTGAGCACCGGCTGTGGAGTGCACAGCACCGTAGGTATCTTGAGCATTAGCTGTGGGATGTACAGCACCGTTGCTGTTTTGAGCATCAGCTGCGGAGTGCACAGCACCGTAAGTATCTTGGGTATTAGCTGTAGGGTGCAGAGCACCGTAGACATTTTGAGCATCGGCTGCGGGGTGCACAGCACCGTAGGTATCTTGAGGATTAGCTGTGGGGTGTACAGCACCGTTGCTGTTTTGAGCATCAGCTGCGGAGTGCACAGCACCGTAAGTATCTTGGGTATTAGCTGTAGGGTGCAGAGCACCGTAGACATTTTGAGCATCGGCTGCGGGGTGCACAGCACCGTAGGTATCTTGAGGATTAGCTGTGGGGTGTACAGCACCGTAGATGTTTTGAGCACCAGCTGCGGAGTGCACAGCACCGTAGGCATCTTGAGCATTAGCTGTAGGGTGTACAGCACCGTAGACATTTTGAGCATCGGCTGCGGGGTGCACAGCACCGTAGGTATCTTGAGGATTAGCTGTGGGGTGTACAGCACCGTAGATGTTTTGAGCACCAGCTGCGGAGTGCACAGCACCGTAGGTATCTTGAGCATTAGCTGTAGGGTGTACAGCACCGTAGATATTTTGAGCATCGGCCGCGGGGTGCACAGCACCGTAGGTATCTTGGGCATTAGCTGTGGGGTGTACAGCACCGTAGGTATCTTGGGCATTAGCTGTGGGGTGTACAGCACCGTAGGTATCTTGGGCATTAGCTGTGGGGTGTACAGCACCGTAGGTATTCTGAGCATTAGCTGTGGGGTGCACAACACAGTAGGTAGTTTGAGTATTAGATGTAGGGCCAGCATAAAATTGTCCTGTATGGTTGGTCCGCTCGACACCATTATCGGCTTGTTGTGCTGAAATCGGTACGTGTAATGAAAAAACACCAGTTCCTAGCAACTAAATGTGTTTCGGAAATTTTCTTAAAACACACCGTATGCGTTGTTCCATAGACTAGCACCACACAGCTCGTTGTATTGTGGTGTATTAAAATTAGGGGCGTTTGGTGCACACTCGCCAGTAAACGGAGAGAAAGGAGTATTTGGAGGAAGGTTACCGATCTGATAAAAAGCACATTTCTAGATAGAACACTTATATTAAGTTGCAGTAGTGTGAAGAAAATTGAATGAATCGTTATGTTCACTAAACCTCTATATGTGCATGGTTATAAAAACTAATATATTATCGACGACATCCATATAAAGCATGAGAGATAAAGCTCTCGGCGTTGGTCAATCCCTTTAAGGATGCGCCATGCATTCAACTTCATTAAGCATCGTTTAGAGAACATTAAATGCATATCTGATTTTACAATGACTCGCGATGACTTATCGATGTATCGAGCGGGCGCTGCTATCACCCCAGACAAGTATGGTACCAATTTGCCGACCTTGGAGTGATGGAAGGCTTGGTGGGCCACACGCGCATCGATATCCATATGGTTAAGAAAAATGAGAGTTTAGTAAAAATGTCGAAAAAATTCACATGAAAGGGTTTCCTTACAAGGTCCAACACAAGATTGAAACCCGGACATTGAAACGGTAAAAAGATGGAACACAATCCGCCACCTACACGTTCAACATGGTGACTCTGTAGATTGAAATGTTTACCTTGATGCGCATAACGTGTTGAGCACGATGAATTTGGAACGCAGTGCCGCGGATGATGAACACCTGTAGAAGAGAAAAGCATATCGAGATCGAATTATAATATGCAAAACAGTTTTTCAAATTGGCATACCGTCTGCTTCTTATTTGGATTAGGGTCACGACAGACCTCACAGTATGCGCCAGTTTCATCGTTAATCTGTGAATAAGAATGTTGGCACAGAGCAACAAAAATATCATATCTTTCGTTAAAACAAACCTGCTTAATAGTCCTTCCTTTTTTACCTATTATGAGACCCGCCTTGTCTGACGGAACATACATATAGAAAACCTGAAGTTGATTTCTCATGTTTAATATCACGATGACAAATGCTACGGTAATCATTTAAAGCTATAAAATTCTCGAAATAGTGGTTTTAGTTTTAGATATTAGTTTTTTAGATATTAGTTTTAGGTTTTAGATAGTAGACGTGTTTTACCTCTTACACCTTTCGTTTCATTCTCTGTTCCTTACAAGTTCGAAATTCATCAATATGTAGTAATAGAAGTTTCAAGGTAAGGATTAAAATTACGCAATAATAAGCCGAAAAATTTGTAACGACTTTGCTAAAAGCAACAAAGAGAAAATGTATATAGAAAGATTGACGTATCGGAAGGTGTGAAAAAAAGAAAGTACAACTAACGCTTCTCCACATAAATACCTAATTTCAAAACTTAATATTAAGTTTACCTCCAACGGTTTACCGCTTTTATCGTGGCTGGGAGGTGTTCCTGGATGTCGGACTGCGATGTACAACGGGGGATTCGTCTCCAAGGGAGGGTCTCCCAAGATGAGAAGGAGTTCAGCATTTCCATCAGCAAGTCTAGCTATGAGTAAACCAACACCAGGATCTACCACCGTCCTAGTATCAAAGTTGCGACTGCCCGCGGTGGTGAAGACTTGGAGCAGACCTTGCCCAAGCTGACCTCGGCATTCCAGAGAACCACAATGACTTAACTGGCAAATCTCCGAAAAGTGATGATTATGGTGGGGCTCGCAGAACCAGTAAGAACGGGTCGTTCAAGTATCAAGTAAATATGTAATAGCAAATATCAGCTGAACAGTTTCAACCATAAAGCAACAAAAACGTGGACCATGACAAACTACTAGAGTTTCGTTGGACAAACTTAGAGAATGCCAGTATTTCCAAAACATTAAAGATCGACACAACAATCAAATTCTATGACCCATCTCTGTTTCTCCTGCCAGAGACGAAATATTAAAGCTTCTACGTACCAGTTCACGAATGTTTCCAGTGACTGTGAACATCCGGTCACGAGATCCTATAACGACTGCACATGTCGTAGATGATGCTGGATCACCTGTGAAAATTAATGGAATGGTATAGTGATTCAGTTATCAACACTAACAGCATACCACAGGAGACTCGTGAAAAAAGAAATAGAAACAGAGAACAACTAGGACGCCTCTTACGTCGAACTTGACAAAAATTTGTACAACAAACACATTCAATTTAAGGACAATTTCTTGTTAGAATACTTCGGCAGTGATTTTAGCGTCACCTTTCGTCACATATGAATAGTAAGCTTCAAACTTATAGCCTCAATTCGGCAGCACTCACCATCTGCTTTCAGATGAACCTTAATGCCTGTTTCCAGGGACACCTGTTCTGTTCGTTCGCTACCTTTTTTTACCACGCCAACACTCAAACGTTGCATCATTAGCTGAAGGTTTCGCCTTTAGGAAATCAACTGAGTCGTAACATAAAGAAAACTCATAATGAACACAGTGATGTGATAACCGTTTGACATCTCATCACCTGCTTAGTTTCAGATTCGCTTGAGTATTGACGAGGTATCACCCTATGATCTTCGCAAGATAATAAATCTCTTACTAATTGCCTTGCCATCTCAATCTGAAATATTGCAACATTAATTTCTATGCCAATGTAACGTGAACCATAGCAATCTGTTAATCTGCAGCAAAAACCACAGCTTCAACCCACCTTTTTAAGAGCACCAGTAATGCTCAGAATTTTCGGCACTGTTGTAGCTTCTTTTGATTCTTGTATCATTGACATAGAGCAGCCACTTTGTTTCTAAACAATTTTACATTAGAAAAACAATGAAAACGCAAATTTCTATGAAATTATATGCTTGTAAACTCAACTGTGCTCGTTCTCATATGAGACGAAGAAGGCATAAAACGAAAATGTTCTGTACAGCGCAAAGCTTTTCAGACAGCTAAGTTGCTATTCAGTGGATAATTCACTAACGATTGATATGTGATAATACGCTTCTCCAAATAAGAACTTAGTGCTGTATATGAAAAAATTACTTGATAATTTTGAACAACTGCTGCTCAATGGCGAAACTTCTTGAAACATAACATTGTCAGATAGAGGTCTCACATAGGCAACAACTATACTTCAGCTGATTCTGTACATAGATTAACACTATGATGAGAGCATTTTGTCAGTCTCTAAACGTGAATGTTCTAAATTTCGTATCAAGAAACAAAAGAGTCCAGAACATGACATGTGACATGCGTTTGGATTCAACCGACTGTCACAACTTGCACACGTGAAATGTTTTGTTCGCACTAAGAACTCTAGCCACAATACTTAGTGCCAACATAGGCTACAGCCTTACTTTTATCCCTTTCAAACTACTTAAACCCTTTCTAACTGAAAAAAGGCTAAGTATCTGCAAACTAATGTTGCACTATAGGAAATCAATCCTGCTAATAAAGGAGATTACTTCTGCATTTCTATCACCTGGAGCAGCTTAATTGTCCTGCCCTTCTTCCCAATAACGAGGCCAGCTTTTTCCGGTGGAATGGAGATTTTGATCGTAATTTCAGTTCCTTCCGAAGAGATGATGTTCTGAACTGAAGGATGAAATCTCGCATTTGCACTCACACTTTTCATTTCTTTACCTGAAACGACATACAATAAAAAAACAACTTCTAACGCTCCCTTATCGCTTTTGATAGGTGATCACTAGTGGTATATTTCACTATGCGGAGAACCACTGACATACATAACGACAGAGGCGTTTTTCATTGCATAATAAGTTTCCTAGGTTCCATCCCCAATTCAAAGAGATAGTCCAAAAACAATCAGAACTATACAAAATTCGCCCAACAGCCGCCAACTGTATGTTCACCAATCATCAGGTAACCATAATTGCCACCATTACTCTTATAAATTTCTCATCCGTAATTGTCGAGAGCAACAACTACTTATGAATTCGCAGATGGCGGCAGGGGAAGAGCCTCAAAATTCCGTTATCTACCCTCTGGTACACATGAGAAAGCTCATCTGTTCACAGTGATCTGCTCGAAACCACTTAGATGTGAGCGGTTGGTGATTAATACTATCATAGCGCTTAAGCGCTCAGAAACTTGTAAGTAACAGAATAGTAATCACAGTGCTCAAGGCATTAATAAAAATAAGGATACTTGGAGCAGAAAGAAATACACGAGGAATATGATGCACGGTGAAAATACCGACGCTGTCAAAATGCGCGGGAACGCGACTGTAAGCAAACGTGTGACATCTCGTCCCAGCCGGAAAACCGTACGGAGCAGTGTTCTCAAGTGACTGGCCCAAAGAAGAATTCTTTACAACGTTTCTTTTTTGCAACTCGATTGTTTGACATTTCACATGAGTAGCAAGCGTTCCTTGAGCTATGATTAGCTGGACGATCCATGCCTCGATATAATCTCGAAAACTGAGGAATTCGACATTTTCATCCTGACAGCCAGTTAAGAGTAAGCCGTTGCCGTTAATAGAAGTCTTCCTAGGAAGAACGTAATTGAAAGATTGTGAATCTCCTTTCAATCCACGAGGATCCATCGCGAAAACCTCACGACGGTATTTTTCCTGGATCCTTAGGAAAAGGCGTCGACACAAGTAACAACAACGATTGAACGAAAACTGAGCGTTGGCGACATCATTATACTTCACGAATACGGATCAGTCACGTAACAAGTATCGATTTACTTTCTGAGTTTCTTTCTTCAGTAAGAACAGAAATCCAAATATCACACAATGCCTTCTGATCTGGATTTCTCTTAGGACACCGTATTTTCCCTGCCATGTAAAACACTATTGTATGTGAGTTCTTTCACAATTCCACAAACAAATTAATTCCACGATGCTAACTGAATGACGGAATCATATGTGCACAAGACGGAAATGGTTCTAAAATGATATAGGGAAATCGAAAGAGGCAAACAAACCTTATAGTGCAATACTCCGAAATGAGGTGCAGGAATTCAGCGTCGTTTAGAAATTAAAAGAAATCCCACGACTATCTCATTAAGCCACACACTCAGAACACATCATAACATACCCACAGTTTTTAAACTGCGCCAAAACACTGTTGGCTCCTGAAGCAAAAATGCCATCCTGAACCCTCAATTGATTTGTCACGCTCCAACCGGAGTGTTTCTTGATCTAAAAAATACATGATTATTTGGATTTGGATCAATTGAAAGCTTTGCAGTGAGAGACATAACAATTGAAACGTATATCTTACTTACTTGATACTTGAACGGCCCGTCCTCACTAGTTGTGCGGGCCCCAGCATAATCACCATTTATCCGAGATTTGCTGGTTAAGCAACTGTGGTTCCCTGGTATCCCGAGGACAGCCTGGCCAAAGTCTGCCCCGGGTCGCCGCCGCGACAGGCAGTCGCAGCCCTTGTGGATCAGAGGAAGATTTGTCACCATGAGACTAATTCGATGCCAGGGCGGTGGTGAATCGTGGTATTGGTTTATTCTTAGCTAGGTTTCCTGATGAAAACGCCGGACTCCTTCTCAGCTTGGGAGACCCTGCCGGGGAGACGAATCCTCCAACTGTACATCGCAGTCCGACACCCAGGAACACCTCCCAGCCACAATGAGGCGGTAAACCGTTGGGAGGGTATTGGTTATCAGCTATGATTAATTTTACTTTAGAGACATTCTCTAACTATATCGTTAGAATGGGGTTTCGTTCGCTGCCATGATACCAGCGGATCGAAACTCTATTTGTCAAGTGCAGTGCTGACAGTAATTATATAAAGGATTCTCAATATTCTTCTTGAGCAAACACGAGGTGTTATTTTATTCCTTTATTTGCGTACAAGCTGGCGTTTCGGCGGATTCCGGCTTCTTCAGAGCCTGGAAAGGTCAAGTTGACAGCAATCTACCCAACCATACATTTCCATAACCAAACGGGGAAAATGCTAAACCAAGATTTCAATCAAATTGAACACAGAATAGCTTCCTCGCGCAATCACCGCTGGGCTGGGTATATTACGCTTCCATGTGAATTCTGTGTGGTTGGTCTCCACGCGATATATTCAGTGGAAGACTCATAGAAAGCCGTGAGTGTGCAAAGAAGCTATTCTGTGTTCAATGTGATTGAAATCTTGGTTTACCGTTTTCTCTGTTTGGTTATGGAGATGTTTAGCTGGGTAGATTGCTGTCAACTTGACCTTTCCAGGCTCTGAGGAAGACGAAATCCGCTGAAACGTCAGTTTGTTCTTGAACAAGAAATAAAATAACACCTTGTGTTTGCTCAAGAAGAACTTAGAGAATTATTTGATCAATGCCGAGTTTAATAGAAAGTCGGTCGTGAGAGTTATACAAACGATGTTTTTGCTTTAAAATGAACCATGAACCAAGCAATTCCTTTAAAGAGGCTGTGAAATGAAAAAGAAAGAAAAGACCATCCTACTTGAAGCTCATGAAGCATTGCAAATTAAGGCTAAGATCTGTTCTGTATAAGATATTTCGGTGATAGCTTCAGTGAAAAGAATTTATATTAAGTTATTTGCATTGTACAGAGGACAAATACAGAATCGGAAGTTTCGGATCATGATGTCGCATTGAAAATGGAAATTGCTTTTTGGGCTACTCTCTCAGCTCATTTTTCCCTGTTTTGAAGAGGAAACCCATTCAGCGCTGACTGTGAAAGCCAGATAATGGTATGGTTCAACCGGAGATCGATCACATATTTGTAAATAGACCATTGATGTGTTCGACATTAGTGTCGCTCCATCTTTCGCGCTGGACTAAATAACCGTTTTCTTCGTGCGAAAATATTTCAAGTATAAAGTGGAAAGAAAATGTTGTCTTTGAGTAAAAGGAAAAGAAAACAGAACAAACAAGCAGTGTGATCGAGCCAACGACCGCGTGTGAATTGTAGGGTACCACTAACCAGTGTGCTACAAGCGGACTATGTTTAGGGAGAGTAAAATGAAGATGTTTAGAAAGAAAGAGGAACAAGAAGAAAACCATCGCGTGATGCAGGAAAGTATGAAACACGAGAATGAAATGGAGCATGAACAGTCTAGAATTCCTATTCACGGCACAACTTCTCAGTGGGACCGTTTTTTAAGAAGCAACGAAAGCAGTTCTTAGACATGAAAATTCTCCATTCCTTTAAACCACGCTGACATCGACAACAACTCGACGACAACGACATCGAATATAGCAAACAACAGTGTGTTGCCAGCTCAACATCTACAATCGTCATGTAATCAGCCTGTTCATCACTTTTCACTGGAGAAACTAGGACCGTCCAAGAAGAATGCGGCAGTGAACACCCAGAAAGAAAAGAACCTTAAGAATTTAAAACGACTGCTTCATAAACACCACAACCACTTACTAAATGCTAGATGAGGCGGATTTCTCAGCTCATGATATGAGTTTAGCGAGGGATAAGTTATGTTTCAACTTCTTTTCTAAGCAATCCTTGTATGGAACTGCTCCATACCAGCCAAATTAGAATTATCTAAACTCCTCTCTCAGATGTTTGAGCTGCAATCAAAACGTGAAGACCATCATTGCATTGTGAAATGACCAGAGAACATCCCAAAAGATTTATTCGAGAGAGAAGTTTCGAATTGCAAATATTTTCGCAAACCACATAGTAACAAGTGAATGTAATTTAAGGAATCTTCACATCCACTGTTGTTTTAATTAGTGATCTGATGTAACTGTTCTTCGCGAAATTTAACCTGTTCTGTCCAACAAACGGCATCAAGTGCAGATGAACTATTTAAGTAGTTGAGTTTTAGACTGTACCAAGACCGTGGCAATGGCTTAAAAGTCTGTCAAAGATACAACTAACATATTGTTCTAATTTTCTTCAAATGCAAAGAGGAATTCTTTCGCAACGAAATGAATCTCATCCTAGTCATGCTCCTTAGCTAGGAATACTTTCAGCATACGTTAGGCTACCCAATGCCCTATTTGGCGCGTGTGACGCAGTGGTCGGAGGAGCCCTACAACACACACGTGGAATCGATCCCCGCGCCCGCGCCCGTGGTCCACCAAGCCTTCCACCTTTCCGGAGTCAGCAAATTGGTACTAGACTTGCCTAGGAGTATAGCAGCACTGGCTCGATACATCGATACGTCACCGCCATTGTAAAGGCCAGGTATGCATTCAATCACCTCCAAACGTTGCTTAATGAAGTCGAATACGTGACGCATCCCTCAGAGCTTGATCAACACCGAGAGCTTTATCCTTTATGCTTTATACTAGAGGACATGTTTAAATATTTGAAGTTCAACTGGATTTTGCGGCTTGATTTTAACAACCAAAAAGTGGATATCCAGCGAATTTTTTGGATTCAAAGTGTGAGTATCTCAAAAGAAACATCTTTGATTCTAAGTAAACAAAACCATGTGTTGTCCATTCCACTTTAATAGGAAGTTCACAATAATGGAACATTTACATGTGACAGCGAAACTTATTTGGATAGTTGGGTATTCTGCCCTCATTAGTTGTGCGGATCCCAGAATAATTTCCATGCGCTTCTCTCTCGTGCAATCGTCGTCTATGGTGGTGGTGGTCTGCTTCAAACAAGCGAGTGCAGATGATTGACGTTAACTGTGAACATGTCAGTGCATCGACTGCTCGGTCCTCTAAGAGAACGCTTGCATTCTCTTGGAGACCACTTCAGCGTTCTCTTCGTCCATCTGTTATCTGTTTTCATTATTATGTGACCCGCACATATGTGTTTCGCTACTGATGCGTATTGTCCTGGTTCTCAAATTCAGGATAGGTTTCAAATATTTGAGCTGCACATTCCGACTAAACGTTGCGAGTGCCGGTGAAACTTCAGAAGACATCGTTCGAGCGCTCTGTGAATGCTGCGCTGATTTCTTGACGCGGTTGAGGTATCGGCCCACGCTTTTGCTGCAAAACAGGGTTCTGGGAGCACTATTTATTCGAAAAGGCGAGCGTGACGATTTCGGTCCTTTAGTTGGTCGTTAGCTTCTTTAAGTGAACCGAAGGAAAACCACCCAGTTCGATTTGTTCACCTTCGTACCATGAGTTCTTCATGAATTGGGTGTTCGTACTATTCATGTGCAATCCAATCTTCTTTTCCTCGTCGTTGATTTTATTCAGCATAGCTCTGCTTCGCTGGTATTTCTTGAAAAATGATACTGCTACCTGTAAAACGTAGATTTGATACGAATTTTTCGTTAGTGCGATTTCACCGTTCAATACGTTAGCCCTTCTCGTCCCAGAAGATCGATGGTTGGCAATTGCACCATCTTCTCTTTGCTAATGACATCGTCCTTATAACTCCAAACTTTAACCAAGTGGAACGAATAGTTGCCAACTTTAATGAAACCTGATAAAAAGTTAGTCTTCGAGTAAATCTCACAAAAACAGTTTTCATGAGGAACGCATTGGCTACGCATGTCCTATCCACATTCAACGGAGTGAATACCTCCCAATGCTCCAGTTACGTCTATCAATGAGGGAAAGTAAATATGATGAAAGACTTCCCTACAAAGTTGAGCAGAAAGTGGTGAGCTGTTTAATGAGATTTCGAGAGCATGGAGGATGTAGTGAGCTGGACGAAGAACACCCGACGGCCTGCCCACTGCTTCTACACAACGATTCTTTCTGATTCATGTGCCGGAAACCTAGTCCTCACATAGGTAGTTTGAAAGATCACTCAATATTATCCGATAGGACGATTCAGAGAACATCCCACATCACTCAAATGAAAGCGAGGATCCGAAGCTCCAGTCCCTAGAGCGAGAAGAATGCATTGGAATACACTTGCACCCGATTGTGAGAAAAGCAGGGTTTACTACCGCTTAATCTAGCCATCTTAAGACCAGGGGACGACAGATGATACAGGTGATATACCACGACAATAGATGCTGTGGAATAAAATGCCCAAATTCGCTCTACTCTCCTGCACCCCTTTGAGTTTCCTAAGATATTCAAATATTCACTGGCTGTATGCAAGATCACTTTTCACTTGTTTCCTTTTCCTAGAGAAAAAATCTAAAATACGACGACTTCAATGGCGTCGCAGAATTTCGCCTAAATGGAACCATCTTATCAAACAAATTCAGAAATATTGTGGCCTAGTTTTGCGTAATCCCATC